TAAAGATTTACCACCTTGGAAACTTAAAGGGAGTTGCTATGAGTCAGGATCGACTTGATGGCAGTGAGTTTGGGTTTTCTTTTTGGTAACATAGCCTTAAAGGAGCTCTGGTGGCATAGTGCATAACGCATTTGACTACTAACCAGAAGGTTGGCCGTTCAAACCCACCAGCCACTCTGCAGAAGGAAGATGGGGCAAGCTGCTTCTGTAAAGATTTACTGCCTCGGGAACCCTATGGGGGTCACTATGAGTTGGAATTGACTCGGTGACAATGCTTTTGAGTTTATTTATTTATTTTAAAAAATATAGCCCTAAGGTGCCATGGTGGCTCACCTGCTAATCGAAAGGACGGAGGTTTGAACCCACCAACCACTCTGTGGGAGAAAGATGTGTCAGTCTGCTTCTATAAGATGACAGCCTTGGGAATTCTCTGGGAAATTCTCTGTCCTAAAAGGTCACTAGGAGTCGGAATCGACTCAACAGCACTAGGTTAATATAACCCTAAGGGAGCTCTGGTGGTGCAATGGTTAAACGCCTGGCTGTAAACCTACAAGCTGGCCATTTGAACCTATCCGGGGGCTCCAGGGGCAAAAGGGTTTGGTGATTTACTACCATAAAGACTGTAGCCTGGAAAACCTTCATGGGGCAGATCCGCTCTGTCATGCAGGGTCCCCGTGAGTTGGAATTGACTAAACAGTATCTCGCAACAGTAATACAGCCCTGGGAGTCCCTGGGTGATTAAATGATTGAGTATTTGATTATTGTTCTGGTTCTCCAGTGTTGCTCTAACAGAAAATACCACAGTTGGGGTGCCTTTAACAAACAGGAGGCTAGACATCCGAGTTCAAGGTGCCAGCTCTAGGGGCTGGGTGAAAGTCCCTCGACCTTGGGTTTTTAGCTCTGCCTCTTGCTCCCGGCCCACTGGAGCTGGAAGCTTCTCTTAACTCAACCAGCTGCTGGCTGCTGAGGCTGACAAACCCAAGGTCGACCAATAAAATGGCACAGTCCCAAGATTACCAAACAGCATGGCAGGTCACTAGTTCAAGTCCAGAGACAGTCCCCTGATCAGCAGGAAACACGGCAGGCTGCTGAAGGAAGACTCGGCTACGTGCAGGGGCCAAGCGTGCCGGAAAGCTGCAGAGACCTTTCTCAAAGTGTCTTCTTGTATAAAGGAAGCAGACCACGTCCCTAAGGCAGCTCCTCAGCCGCTCCAGTAGAATCCACCACGGGGTTGATTGCCAGTCTCATCATGGGGAATAACTACATCCAGCTGCCCAGCCACTCAACCAGGCCCAGCCAAGTTGACACACAACTTAACTACCCCAATTACTCAGGGAAGGTTCGCAGGTTAGTAGTTTGAACGCACTCAGGGGTCCCTTGGAAGAAAGGCCTGGCAATCTGCTTCTGAAAGGTCACAGCTTTTAAAACCCGATGGCTCACTGTGCTACCCTGCAACCCATGAGGTCACCATGCTTTGTGGCTGCTTAGTATTGCGCCTCTGTGCCTAGTACAGTTCCAAGCTTTTTATGCATAAACCAAAAAAACAAAACTCGCTGCCACCAAGTCAATTCCGACTCACAGCAACCCCTCCTTGGGTTTCCAAGGCGGCATCACTATGGAAATAGATTGCCCGGTCTTTTTTCCGAGGAGTGGCTGGTAGGTTTGAACCTCCAGCCTTCTGGTTAGCAGTCAAGTGCCTTAGGCACTGTGCTACCAGAGCTGCCTTTTAGGCACGATGACTAATTCAATCCTCTTAACAGGTGTGCTACTGTTATCCCCATCTTAGAGATGAGCAAACTGAGGCACAGAGAAGCTTCGTTACTAGTTCAAGGTCACGTTTTGTAAGTGACTATGGGAAAAAAATTACACCTAGTACTGACACCAGAGACTTCCCAACAGCAGCTGGGAATTGGGAAGACAGAGGAGAAATGGTGTGGCGTGATGCATGGCTGTTATATGGCGCTTCTAGCTATGGTCTTATACTGATTGCGTGAGTCTATGCAAATAAGGTGCCTGTGGGTCTCAGTTTGCTAAAAACGCAAATAAGGTGCATGGAGCCCTGTGCGAGTGGGACCACGTGTATAAGCTACACGGCAAGTGTTTGTGGTTTGTTTCTCATACTGCAGCGAGTACAGAAGGACAAAGAAAACAAACTGCGTGGAACCCTAAGGACAAGGTTGGTCGGTTTTGCCATCCTGCTGGGATTAAAATGAACCACCCCAGAGGCAGAAAAGGGGACCTGATATCACCAAGAAGAGATGGAGCGCGTCCTGTGGACCCCAGGACCCTGCTCTGGGAGCCGCCGAGACCCAGGAGACAGAGTTGTGACGCTGGGTCTGGTGAGAGGCAGTGACAGGCAGTGGCAGGGAACAGTGGCAGCAGAGACAGCAGGGCCAGGGGACCAGCGTGAGGGGCTCTCTGGTCAATGCAGCAAAACTGCTGAGTGCCTTCAGGCAGGAAGCTTCGTGGTGGAGGAGGGTATCTCTGGGCTCTCGGTGGAACAGGGTTTGCCAACCCCCGGAACAAGAGCTGAGTGCCTTCGGGCTGAGGCTTGCTGGCAGAGTCGGGTATCTCCAGACACTTACTGGTGGAGCTCAAGAGTTTTGTAACGCTTGCCTCAGTGGGCAGAGACAGGCCTGGCCCAAGAGGTCCGAGGTGCCGAGGGCCAGGCAGAGGTGTGTGTGCCGTCACCGCTGAGGCTGTGCTCGTGGAAAATGTGTATCCTGAGTGTTCCTGAACTTGAAGTGTAACCTGTTACTTCCCTAAGAAACCCCATGATTATGAGACTTGTCTGTGAGCTGTGCGTGTGGCCACTGCAATGAATGACTGAACCCAGGAGAGAAGTGGGGAGTGCGGTGGGAGGGACGGCTGGTGTCAGAATTACTACAAAGGCTGGAGAGCGGAGGCTTGTCTGACCTCCGCTTCATGGGAATCAGCCTTGGGCGGATGCTGATGGTGACTGTCTCCCCCTCCGTGAATAAGAGTAGGTCAGACGCCTCCTCCATGCCATTTTTACAAATATCTTCTAACTTTGGGAGAAAAATAACTAGGAACCCAGAATTCTAGATTCCAAGTGTGAGGGTGACATAAAGACATTTTCAGATGACTAAGACTCAGGAAGTTATGATCCACAGATGTTGTGTGCTGTTGAGTCAATTCCGACTCATAGCAACCTTATAGGACAGAATGGAACTGCCCCATAGGATTTCTTACACTGTAATCTTTACGGAAGCAGAGCCCAAACCAAACCCACTGCCCTTGAGTCCATTCCGACTCACAGCGCCCCTAGAGGACAGAGTGGAACTGCCCCACAGGGTTTCCAAGGCTGTCAATCTTAACAATTGTTGTCGTTATGTGCCATGGAGTTGGACCCACTCATAGCGACCCCTCCTTGGGTTTCCGAGACAGTATCACTACAGAAGTAGATTGCCCAACCCTCCTTCCAAAGAGTGGCTGGTGGGTTTGAACTGCCAGCCTTCTGGTTAGCAGTCAAATGCCTTTGGGCACTACGCTACAGAGCTCCTAGTCTTTAGAGGAGCAAAGCCCAAACCACACCCACTGCCATGGAGTCGATTCCGACTCACAGCGCCCCTAGAGGACAGAGTGGAACTGCACCACAGGGTTTCCTAGGTTGTAATCTTTACAGAAGCCAACTCCCTCATCTTTCTCCTGCAGAGCAGCTGGTGAGTTCAAACCACCAGCCGTTAGGTTAGCAGTGAGCACTTAACCACTGTACCACCAGAGCTCCTTGTAAATTATTGGGGAGTGTACTTGAACAAGGAGTAAAATGAATTCAGGAGGAAGAAGAGGGCTGTAAAAAATAATAGAGAATGTGTTTATGAACCAATTGTAGAAATAAGAAATAAGTGGTAATTAGAGAAAACTTTTACACTCGGTTCCTAGTCAAAGCCGGGCTAAATGGAGAGAAACGCCATGTTTATGGCTGTGAAACAAGTTCAGTCATCTTGGAATTAATTCCAATCTTAGTCCTAATAGAATGTTTCATGGAGCTTGAAAAGCAATGGCTGAAATCCATCCAGAAGAGAGAATTTCAAGAAAAGACAGATTTGAAACTCAGTTGGAGGAGGGGAAAGGAAGGCAAAGACTTGCCTTGTGTGATGTCAAAACATACCAAGATACAATAATTAAATAGTATGGCATGGATGCTGTGATAGTTGGAGCTGTGTGTCAACTTGGCTGGACCACAATTCTGTGTGGTTTAAGCAGTGGTGATGTGGTTATTCCCATGATGGGATCAGATATGTATGTTCAATCCATTGAAGGGGAGTTTCCCTAGGGTTGTGGCCTGCTTCCAGTGTATTTATGGACATCCCGGGGAAAGAGACACTCTTCTGTGGATCTGGATTCTGTTGTGCTGCCTACAACTGTCAGTGAGTGAACAATCCACCATTTAGCCTGGAGATCTTGGATTCGTCATTCGTTGGAGTCAACAGCAAGTGTACTGCCTGCCAACCTTGAGCTCGTCAGCCCCTGCAGGTGCGTGAGTCGGTAAAAGCCTCCAGCTTGACGTTTGATCCAAGAACTTTGGACTTGCCAGCTTCTATAAGTGTGTGAGCCATTTTCCTAAGATAAATTTCTCTTTCTCTCTCTATATAAGCTTTACTGGTTTTGTTTCTCTAAAGAACCCAGTCTAACACAGATGCAAAACCAAAAGTCGAAGCAAATCCACTACCATCCAGTCGATTCCAACTCAAGAGACCCCCTTTGGGTTTCCAAGATGGTAAATCTTTACGGAACTGGATTGCCCAGTCTTCCTTCTGCAGAGTGGCTGATGGATTTGAACCCCCAACCTTCTGGTTGGCAGTGCCTTAGGCACTGAGCCACCAGAGCTCCTTATCATGGATGCAAGGAACAGAGAAAGAGAATATGATAGAAATGCCAGAAATAGACCCATTTATATATGGGAATTTGTTACACAATGAAGGTAGACTATCCAAACAGTGGAGGAAAGATTATTTTCTTAAATACATGGTATGGGGACACAACTGGTTACATCTATTGTGAATTCCTACTTTAATGTATCTTCAAAAATAAATCTCAGATGGATTAAAGATAGAAACATAAAATCAAAACTAGGAAAATGTTAAAAGAAATGGAAGGAATCCATGTTTATGGCCTTGGAGTATGGAAAGCCCCTCTATTTTAAAAAATACTATTTTATTGTGTTTTCAATGAAAGTTTACACAGAAAATTAGGTTTGTGTCCACAATTTCTACACAAATTATGCAATGACATTAGTTGCATTTATCACAATGCGTTGACATCTTCTTTAATTGCGTTCTGGTTGTTCCATTTCCAGGGCTCTAGTTTCCCTGCCCCTTTAGCTTCTCATCTTTCCTTTAGAGTAAATGTTGACCTTTTGGTCTTACATACATGTTTTTTTAATGCACCACCCCATTCCCAGGTAATATGTTTGATTTTGTGTGCTCTGTTATTTTGCTTTTGGGTTCAAAGTTTAAAGAGTATGTCAGGGCAACAGTCTCAGATAACCTTGTAGTCTCAACTGCCCAGTCAGTCTGGACTTTGTGTTCTGTTTCGTGTTTTTCTCCTGTCCTATCTGGGTCCGTCTCTTGTGGCCCCAGAAGGCCTTTTAACACACCAAACAGCAAAAGTCAGGACGGAAGTGATTGATTAAAAAAAGTTGCAGATAAACGCTAAGGGGGAAAAAAAAGAAAAGGTACAAACTAAGAGGAAATATTTGCGTCCTATTTAACTAAGAATTAGAACCCAGAATTCATGAAGTATACTCCCGCCGAGTAATAGCAAGAAAAAACTCACACCACTTCATTTAAAAAGGGGGCAAATGATATGAGCAACTAATTTACAGCAGATAAAATATAAGACCAATCAAATCATCAAAAGATGTTCGCTGTCCTTAGTAATGAGTTGCAAGTTATAACAGTGTGATCTTGTTCCTTTCAGGAAGTGACTAATACTAACTGATCAACCAGGTCTCTGCTCTGATGTCCTTTTTTTCTAAGCTCCTCCAGACCCCAGGCTGGGCCAGGCGCCGCCCTGGGTCCCACAGCCCTGTGGCCTCTCCCATCCCAGCCCCCTGCTTGCTCTTGCTCGTCACCGTTTGGGGACATGTCTGTCTGTCCCACTGGACCATTGAGTCCCCGGAGAGAGGCTGAGGACTGTTGTTAGTCACCCGTGTCACTAGCACCGTCCAGCACAGGGCCAGGCTCGGTTATGTTGTCGTTATGTGCCGTCGAGTCAGACCCGACTCGTAGCGAGCCCTCCTTGGGTTTCCGAGGCGGTATCACTACGGAAGTAGATTGCCCAACCTTCCTTCCGAGGAGTGGCTGGTGGGTTTGAACCGCTAGCCTTCTAGTTAGCAGTCAAGTGCCTTAGGCATTGCGCTACCTGAGCTCCGGACTCCGGTATACATGAGGAATAAATCAATGAATGGGGAAACTGAGGCCAAGTCAATGGCCGAGCCAGAATTAGAACCCAAGTCTCTCTGTAGTGAGAGAAAGGATGTAGTTTGATCTCTCGCCATCTCTATCCCACTGTGGCTTGCCTGGAACCTTGTTGTTGTTGTTATGTGTCGTCCAGTCGGACCCAACTCATAGCGACCCCTCCTTCAGTTTCCCAGGCAGTATCACTATGGAAGTAGATTGCCCAACCTTCCTTCCAAGGAGTGGCTGGTGGGTTTGAACCGCCAGCTTTCTCGTTAGCAGTCAAGTGCCTTAGGCACTACGCTACCAGCCTGGAACCAGGGCACACAAAAGGCTCTCAATAACGGCATTGGTATTGGACAGCTCAGCAGCCAGACATTCTAGGGCCCTCCAACCTCCGCAGTCCTCCAAGACCATAGAGAGCTGCGCAGGGACCGCCTGTCTCTAAGATCAACCCCTCCGGGGAATAGTGAGAGCGGGCTCGGGTGCCAGAGAGGCCGGAAGTGCGGTAAATCTGGGGCCGCGCTAGCCTCCCAGGCGGTAAGACACCTCGATTCCGCTCTGATCTTTTCCCGGTGGCCTGGGGACCCGGAGGTGAGTCCTGGCTGCTCTGAGACAGGGAGCTCGGCAGGGAGGTGGAGGCGGCGGGGTGGCGATTGGTGGCTGCAGAAGCCAATCGCTGCACTGTCTGAGAAACCGACAAGACTGGGCGTGGAGAGGGAATCATGGTGGGACGCGCTGGGGCGGGACTAACGGGGTCTTGTTGTTGTTGTTGTTTGCCGTCGAGTCGGCCCCGACTCATAGCGACCCCTCCTTGGGTTTCCGAGGCAGTATCACTACGGA